AAAAAAAACAAATTTTATTGTATTAATTGATTTAGTCTGATAGATCAAAAATGTATGCGTATTAAAGAGCACCTAAGGTCTGCTGATTTAATTTCAGATTATTTTTTAATTTTAGGGCTGTCGATTTAGAAATTTTTGAAAAAAAATGCAATACATGTTGATATTGAAATGTGCCTTTAAATAAAGTCATTTCAGATATTATTTTGGCAGAAAGCATTGAAGTTCGCTGTTCCTCTGATGGTTAGCTGTATTGAGAATCATTTGCATGGGAATTTTCCCTCATAGATCAATAAAGTGCAGCTTTTTATCAGTCTGTCTGATGCAATTTGTTTTAAACTTGCTTGTGCACATTTTGATTGGTTGGAAGTAACAAACACAATTAAAGGCTGTCTTTCACTTTACAAATGTTGGACAAACACCTATCATATTGTGACATTAATAAGTCGTTTTATTCCCCCAAACGTCACCACATCAACAGGTCATGTCACAGCATGGCTAACTGAGTCATGCTAAATTAGACATAACTGTAAAATTCTCAAATCCTTCCTCTTTGGTGCACGTGCAGACATGTGACCACACCCTGAGAGGTGATTGGACGAATACAAACTATGGAATTATGTCAAGTTGTGGAAGGTACCGTACTTTCCATGTCCTATTGAAGAGCACTGATAGGCCGTTCATTTGGAGGAAGAGAGACTTTCCAGATCTCACAAACAAATAAAGTCTTTGTAGAGTGTCGCAATATTGAACAACAGCTTTGCAGGAAGAGCAAATTGTACCTAATCTAACCTGTAAATTACTTTTAATGATGTACCCAATGAATGGAGTTAGGTTTAATCGATTACTGATTGAAAGTAATTGTCAATTTGATTATGCATTTTTTTTTTGGCTAAACATTTTTACAGTGTGCAATTACAAATTTCCATGTACTTTAACTTAAAAACTTAAGTTGGCTTGAGTTTTTAAGTATAATCAAATTGGCTATTATTTCAGGCAAAATCATATTAAACTGACTTAAAGTAGTTGAAGGTTAATTTGATGGGTTAAATTGGTGGAAAAACATGTTCACATAACTTATTGATCAAATAGAACAATAAAACATGCACATATATTACTATTTTTTGTTATCTTATTGCAGAATATATGACTTTTTTTGTTGACATTTTAGATCTGTTTGTTTATATGATTTCATTTATACTTAATCTTCCATTTCATTTAAAGCCCATTTATATATTTAACTACTTATTTTGCTCTGTCCAGTGCATATTTTGACAATCTTTTGCACAGTGTACAGTTCTTAATATTTTCAGTCCCAAATATGTTTATTTTGGATTAATTTGAACTTTAGTGATACTAAAAGGATTTTACTTTCCTTCCCAGTGAATTACAGATAATGTTGATCCAATTATATTACCTGCAGGGCATCAATAAATTACTTAAGTCCATCAATTGTATTAAAATGTGTGGATTAATGCTTATTAAAATAGACGAGTCTGTTTTTAGAAAGTTGAAAAAAGCGGCTTTTATTTACAGCAGTATTGCACAAATTAGCACGTAAATGGTTCAGTGCAAAATACAAAAAGATGCATTTAACAAACAAACGAAAACAAATGATCATTGTGCTACAAATGTACTGGGTCCTGGGTGGCGTCAGATCGGGTAATGCGGATGTTCAGTGCAACAGGACTGAAAAGACTCAGAGGTCCAGTGAGAAATACACAGGTTGGCCTGAAATTCATGGGGGGGAGGGAAGCTAAAGAACGGGAATGCTGCTCGAATCCTTCGGCAAAGGCAGAGAATGAAAGCATGCAATATGACACAATGCGCTACGCATTGAAAAAGGAGATCTTTGGTTCAAGTGGTAAACCTGGAACGGTAGACAAGCTCAACATTGTCATTTTGGCAAAGAGCAACAAG